GGACGCTCAACTGACTGCGCCACCCAGGTGCCCCGGAGGTGATATTTTGTTAAGTTTTTTTAATGTTTACTTTGATTTTTGAGAGAGAGAGAGAGAGAGTGCGAGTAGGGGAGGGGCAGAGAGAAGGAGACACAGAATCCAAAGCAGGCTCCAGGCTCCGAGCTGTCAGTACAGAGTCCGAATCGGGGCTCAAACCCATGGACCAAGAGGTCATAACCTGAGCCAAAGTCAGACGCTTAACTGACTGAGCCACCCAGGCCCCCCAATATGGGGTGATTTTTGAGGATGATGAAAATGTTCTGCAGTTAGTGGTGATCGTTGCTCATGTTTACGAACAATCTAAAACCCACTAAATTGTACACTTTAAAATGGTGAACTTCACCGAAGAGATTATATAGATGAAAAGTGAGCACATGAAAATATGTTCAATATATTAAGGAAATGCAATTTAAAGCCATTGTGATAGGGGCACCAGGGTCGTTCAGCCAGTTAAGCGGCTGACCTTGGCTCAGGTCATGATCGTGGGTTCGAGCCCTGCGTCGGGCTCTGTGCTGACAGCTCAGAACCTGGAACCTGCTTCAGATTCTGTGTCTCCCTCTTTGCCCCTCCCCTGCTCACACTCTGTCTCTCTCTCTGTCTCTCTCTCTCTCTCAAAACTAAGTGAACATTAATAAAAAATTAAAAAAATAAAGCCATCGTGATAAGAAAGAGGAGCCCAAAGAGATAGGATGCCTAAATGTTATATGATGTCTGGGAAGGGATCCTGAAACAAAAAGGACCTTCGCAAAAATCTAAGGAAATCTGAATGAAGTATGGAGCTTAGTTAATAATAATGTGTGAGTTTTGGTTCATTAGTTGTCCCAAGTGAACCATGTTAAAAAGGGTTAGTTGGGATGATGAAACCGTTCTTCATCTTGACTGTGATTAATCTATACATGTGTTAAAATTCATAAAAATGTACAACAAAAATAGTTAATTTTACTGAATGTTAATTAAAAAAAAAATAAAATGTTTAAATGGCTTGGAGGAATTGGAGAGTAACTAAGAATCAGTAGAACCCAGACATTTGATCCTTGAAAGAAGTGAACTGCACTGGATGAGATCTGTTTCCAAAGCTTTCTCCTTAGGACACTCCCCAGTCCGCAAGGTGTGGGATGGCTAGAACTCATGCAGAAAGCCACAGACTTCTTGGCTTAAGATAGAAGGGGACTTGGTAGGGGAGGGGCGGGGGGATGGGTGAAGGTAGTCAAAACTCCCAGTTATAAAATAATAAGTCCTGGGAATGTAAAGTACATATGGCAACTATAGTTTTTTACGAAAAGATATTGGTGGATAAAGTTCAGTGCTGCCAGAGCAGCCGGATATTGAGGGAGAAAACCCAGAGGGGAGGAAGCTGAAGAGAAGAAATCCCCTAAATCTGCATATGAAATCCCTCAATTCCTGGTCCAGTGGAAAGCAACAGCTCAAAGGCAGGAAGCAAAAGGCAGATATTTCAACTGCTGCCTGCCACAAGAGAGTCAGAATTTGTAGTTTGATTTTCATAAACTCAGAAGAGCTTGGACTGTCCACTGAAATCCCAAAAGGGCCATGTTCTGGAAGACCCAAGTGGCAGGACTAAGAAATTCACTTTAATAATAATGGGGAAACTTAAACTCACCATGACGAAGGTTGAACCAAAACTATACAAATACAAGATCAAGTTCAAGCTATTTTTTTTTAATTTTAATGCTTTTCTTTTTAAGTGTTTATTTTTGAGAGAGACGGAAGTGAGCAGGAGAGGAGCAGAGAAAGAGGGAGATACAGAATCTGAAGCAGGCTCCAAGTTGTCAGCACAGAGCCCAATGCAGGGCTTGAACTCACAAACCATGATCGTGACCTGAACCGAAGTCAGACACTTAACCGACTGAGCCACCCAGTTGCCCCAAGTTCAAGTTACTAATTTGACTGTCTACTAATACAAAAATCAATGTTCTTCAGAAGATAAAAGAATCCAGAATCTGTATAATGTATCATCCCCAATGTCCAGTATAGAATTTTTTTAAATCCTAGACTGCTCCCCCCCTGCAAATGTAATTCAGTGTTAATAGAAAGGTCAGACAGTAGCAGTAAATACTAAGACCACCCAAATGTTTGTGGGGGAGAGGTGTCTTTGAAGCAGCTATTATAAATATCTACAAAAGAGTTTAAGGAAAAGAGTGTTAATGAATACATGAATGAGAAATCTTAATACAGAAAAAAATATTTAAAAAATAGAAATTCAAGAACTGAAAATAAAATTAAAAATTCAGTGAGTTTAACAGCAAATTAATGATGTCCAAAGAAAGGGTCAATGAAAGAAAATATTGAGAAGAGACTGAGAAAAAAATATTGAAAAAAAATGACCTATCAATATTTAGGTGATGGCATTAATTGGAGCTCCAGGAAGAGAGGAGAAAGAAATCAGGGTAGAAAAAAATGTGATGAATTAATGGCTACATATATATGTATGTATGCATATATAATTTGTTTCCCTATATCTTGTAGACAAAAAATTTCAGATTCAAAATCTCAGGGAAGCATAAGATAGGTAAATATGAATAAAACCACTCTTAGGCATGTCACAATCAAACTGCTGAAAAGAGAGATAAAGAGAAAATATTGAAAGTGGCCTAAGATGACAACCACATGACATGTTGGAGAACAATGTTTTCCGTTCTCATGGACTTCTCACCTGAAACCATGAAAGTCAGGCGATAGTGGGGGAATCTTCAAAGTTCTGAAAGAAAAACCCATTAATATGGAATTCTGTATCCAATAGGATGAATGCAAATGATATCAGAGAAAACCTCAGACCGTCATGAATGAATAAAGAGGACAAACAAAAACCAGAACAGTTCCAGTGGCTACCAGAGAAGAGGTGGATGGAAGGATGGGTGAAATAGATAAATGCGATTAAGAGTGTACTCACCTTGGGGCGCCTGGGTGGCGCAGTCGGTTAAGCGTCCGACTTCAGCCAGGTCACGATCTCGCGGTCCGGGAGTTCGAGCCCCGCGTCAGGCTCTGGGCTGATGGCTCAGAGCCTGGAGCCTGTTTCCGATTCTGTGTCTCCCTCTCTCTCTGCCCCTCACCCGTTCATGCTCTGTCTCTCTCTGTCCCAAAAATAAATAAACGTTGAAAAAAAAAATTAAAAAAAAAAAAAAAGAGTATACTCACCTTGACGAGCCCCGAGAAAGGCACAGAATCGTCGGATCATCATGTTGTACGCCTGAAACTAATATAACATTGTATGTTAAATATATTTCAATTTGGTATATGTCTGAGTAAATATAGAAGACTATTTTGTCTTCTTTCTCTAAAAGATAGGACACTTTTTTTTTTTAATGTTTATGGATTTATTTTGAGAGACTTACACGCATGTGTGTGTGCTGTGCTGTCAACCAGAGCCCTGTGCAGGGCTCGATCTCACAAAGTGTGAGATCATGACCTGAGCCAATATCAAAAGTGGGATGCTTAACCGACTAGGCCACCCGAGACACCCCAAGATAGGACACTTTAAAGCAAAAATTATAACATTACCTTCTGGCTTATAAGGTATGTAAGTATAAAGTATGTAAGTATAAAATATGTAAGTATAAAGTATGTAAACTATAATATATATAACAAATACAGCATAACAAATAAAGTAGGGGATAGTGGTATTGGACACATATGTTTACAAATCTACATTTTATATGAAGTTGTTTGATATTCTCTCTCAGGTAGTTTGTGAAAAGTTAAGTAGATACGTAGCAATACCTAGAGACACTACTGAAATATAAAACACAGGTAGAGCTATTAATAGATAAAATAGAATTCTTAAAAAATACTTGAATATGTTAAAAGAAGACAGGAAAGGGAAAACAAAGGAACAAAAATCAAAAGGAAAATTAAAAAATGGTAGACCTAAGTCCAACCATATCAATTATTTATTAAGTATCTATGGACTAAACAGCTTAAAGGCAGAGATTGCCAAAATGAATTAAAACAAGACTCACCTATATTCCGTCTAAGAGATGCACTTTAAATATAAAGACATATGGGGCGCCTGGGTGGCGCAGTCGGTTAAGCGTCCGACTTCAGCCAGGTCACGATCTCGCGGTCTGTGAGTTCGAGCCCCGCGTCAGGCTCTGGGCTGATGGCTCAGAGCCTGGAGCCTGTTTCCCATTCTGTGTCTCCCTCTCTCTCTGCCCCTCCCCCGTTCATGCTCTGTCTCTCTCTATCCCAAAAATAAATAATAAAAAAACGTTGAAAAAAAAATTAAAAAAAAAAAAATAAATAAAAATAAATATAAAGACATAAATTGAAAGTAATAGGATGGTAAAATACAGAACCTGCAAATAGCATATCAGATGAAATAGACTTCAACACAAAACGTATTAGCAGAGATAAGGAAGGACATTCATAACGATGCAAAGTCAAGTCATCGGAAAGACGTCACAATCATAAAATGTTTATGTATCCAACAGAGTTTCAAAATCTACAGAGCAAAACTCAGCAGAGCTAAAGGGAGAAGTAGACCATCTCACAATCATAGTTGGAAGTTTTAATGTTCCTCTCTTAGCAACTGGTAGAAAAACTACACAAAAAATCAGTAAAGATATGGATGATCTGAACAGCATTAATCAGCCATGTTGACCTAACTGATATATCTAGAATACTGTACCTGAATGTGCAACATAAATATTTTTTAAATGCACATAGTATATCCACCAAAATAGACCATATGTTAGTGGATAAAGCAAGTCTCAATAAATTTAAAGGGAATATATAGAGAGTTTCTCAGACCGCAGTAGGGTGGGGATGGGGCACTTGGGGACCCTAGAGGCCAGTGAGGGGATAAGTACAGGTCAGATGTGGGGGGAGGGGCAGAACACTGGGAAGAAGAGAGAGAAGGTGAATGAGGGCACCAATAACCCACCCCAGACCCCAGCCTCACAGTCATTGGCTGCCACCTGGCTCCTGCGTTGCCAAGGGGGCGAGCTGCCATCAGACTGGCCAAGGCCTCAGTGCGCAGAATGGGGTGCCAGGGCTTCCTGCTTGGCTCCCTTCTCTGCCGGAGGGACGGACAGCTTGTCCACTCTGCTCTGGCTGCAGAGGAGAGCGCCTAGCGAGGTGTGGGGTGCGCCTGCAGGGTAAGCTGCTTGGGCTGGGGGCTGGGATCCAGGTGGGATTACTCTGTGACAAGAGGGGGGGGGTGACCAAAGCCTTTGTGAGGGAAGGGTGGCCTGGAGCAGAGTGAGCTGGGGGCTCCAGGGAAGGGCCTGCTCAGCCCCAATAGGGAGCCTCGACCCTTGTTCTGACTGAGATGGCCAGCTGAGGGCAGTGACCCCAAAACCTTGCTTCCCACAGAGGAACTCTGTCCAGGGCTAGACTGAAGGGGGATGGGAGGGGCCAGGAGTTCCGACTACAGCCACAGAGCCTAGGGCCACCACGATGGCCCCACAGTGTCTGTGCTCAGTGACAGGACCCCGTTGGGTTGAGGTCGTGAAGGGGCCTCGGAGAGACTGCCTGGTAGGCCCACGTCCATTTGCAAGGCTAGCATCCTCATTCTGTCTCCCCGAAGCCTCAGTGGGGCTGAAAGGAGGAAAAGCTCGGGCCCCCAGCAAAGCCCCCACAGGGCAGGCAGCGTTGTTGGGAAGGTGCCAAGAGACTGAGCTGTTTTGTGCCCTGGGCTCTTGCTCACAGCTCCAGGGGCCTTGCTCCTTTCTTCTCCTACAGAGAATGGTGGCGTGGCTCTATGAAAGTCAAAGGGAAGGGCGGCCGCTTCTCCAGCTCAGGAAGCACACATGGGGTCGGTACATCCTGGGGCAGGGGGAACACTCGTGCGCTGCAGCTCGAGAGAGGTAGTACTGTGCAGTGGTTAAGGTCAAGGGCACTAGACCAGATCATCTGTGGTTGAATCCCGGTTTCTCCACTTACTAGCTTGTAACCTTGGCAATCTTTGCGAGGCTTGGTCCCCCCATCTGTAAAATGGGAACGAAAACAACATTATCTATTTTATGACCGTTGTTAGGGCTAAATGGGGCTTTAGCACAGGTTTTTAGCAATAGATATTTATTATTATTATTACTATTACTGTTACTATTACTATTACTATTACTATTACTATTACTATTACTATTACTATTACTATTATTATTGATGGAGCACCACATGTAGACCCAGATCCACTATCTGAAGGGGCATCTCCTCATCCAGACCCTGACTCAAATTCCAGGGCCTGGCTGATGGTGGCCAAAGTGTCCCCATCCTTCCCACCACCGCCACCACAGGGAACTTTTCAGAGGGAGAGTCAGAGGTGGAGCCCTGCTCGCCAAGGCCTTTCCAGCCGGGTGATTCCCTGAGAGCTCTGGGGCAGGGGTCACAGGGAGGCAACAGCCTCTGAGGGCCCATTGTTCTCCTCTCAGCCGAGAAAAATGCATTCTCTCCACCTCTCTACCCCTCACGCCAAACTCTGCACCCTCACGGGAGGACCAAAGAGAAGCCAATACTGCCCGGCTCTCCTCGTCCGGCTCACAAAGAGCTCTCTGTGCCTCACAATGGTCCTGTGAGGCCCAGCCTTCTGGGCTTACTATCCCCAGTTCACAGATGAGGAAGTTGAGGCCCACAGGGAGGAAGTGGCACACGTGATGTCCCACATAGAGAAGTGGCTCAGTCGGGACTCCGCCTCCCAGTCCCAGGACTGCAGCACAGAGCTGTGGGCACAAACAGGGCACAGCCTAGGGGGATCTGTGGGAGGGGCAGTGGCCTGGCCCCTCCCTCCTGAGCGGCCAGGTGGTGATAGCTGGGTTTTGGGTTTTTTCTCCCTAGATGAGCTTCACATCCCAGGTAACTGGAGCAGAAGTCCTCAGCGTGTCTTGTTTTCTCCCCAGGTGGGATGTCTGCTGTCCCAATAGGGGCCAGGATCCAGCTGTGACGGCTCCTTGGCCTAATGACAAAGCCGGAGAGGGAAACAGGAACCACGGTGCCCTCCCTGTTAGGAGGATTGCAGGAGAGCATGACCTATGGCCACAGGACTGTGCACATGACTGTGGTCTCCTGAAGTCAAGGCAGATGGAAAGGGAGAGACCTGAACCTAGGGTGATGAGTCATCCAGGTTTTCCTGGGTTCGGGATGTGTTTTAAAACCTGGAATGGGGGCGCCTGGATGGCTCAGTCGGTTAGGCGTCCGACTTCGGCTCAGGTTATGATCTCACCATTCGTGGGTTCAAGCCCTGCATCAGGCTCTGTGCTGACAGCTCAGAGCCTGGAGCCTGCTTCAGATTCTGTGTCTCCCTCTCTCTCTCCCCCTCCCCCACTCACACTCTATCTATCTCTCTCAAAAATGAATAAACGTTAAAAAATAGGGGCGCCTGGGTGGCGCAGTCGGTTAAGCGTCCGACTTCAGCCAGGTCATGGTCTCGCGGTCCGTGAGTTCGAGCCCCGCATCAGGCTCTGGGCTGATGGCTCAGAGCCTGGAGCCTGTTTCCCATTCTGTGTCTCCCTCTCTCTCTGCCCCTCCCCCGTTCATGCTCTGTCTCTCTCTGTCCCGAAAAAAAATAAATAAACGTTGAAAAAAAATTAAAAAAATAAATAAATAAAAATAAAAACAAAAAACAAACCTGGAATGTTCCAGGCAAACTGGGATGAGTTAGTCACCTGACTCTTTCACAGCTCCCAGTCTGGGAAGATGAGACTCACCCAGGAATAAGTAGAGGAGACTACAGACTGGGATCAGGAAGGACCTAAGGAAGTGTTGGGGGATGGGGAGCCATGGCCACATTGTGGTTGGCACTCCATAAAGCAGCCTGGGGCAGTCCGGCTCCTCATTTGCATATGAGT